CACACACACAACACTACAACTTCATCATCAATGTGTCTCATCAATACACACCACATTGCTCCTCATGTGTGCCTACACATTCACGTGCATATCGCGCCATTCACTGTCTAAAAGCCTTCTTTATCGCCCACAATATTTACACTTTTACCACAATCCTGACCAAAGAGCCACGCAAATAGTCACAGCATTCTACCACATGACTATATTTATTGGGAAAGTCGTTTCCAAACTCGAGCTCCATTTATTTTGCATTTTACCGATTTTTTGGAAAAGCGCCTTGACCACGCCCACCGCGCCGAGAGAGCAAAGCGGCCGACATCGGTCCGAAAAAAAAATCTGCTGAAACTTGGCATATCGATAGAGGACAGTTTGGAGGTGAGAATGCGCCATTTCGAGTGGTCTTGTTCGGCTTTTTGGTGAAGATATGGCCGGACAAAAAATAGAAATAGAGGATTTTACTATTTATTGGAAAAGCGCCTTGACCACGCCCACCGCGCCGAGAGAGCAGAGCGGCCGACATCGGTCCGAAAAAAAATCTGCTGAAACTTGGCACATCGATAGAGGACAGTTTGGAGGTGAGAATGCGCCATTTCGAGTGGTCTTGTTCGGCTTTTTGGTGAAGATATGGCCGAACAAAAATGAGAAAAAGGAGGACTAAAAGAATGGTGTAATAAGAAGTGAAAAGATGGAGCTTGGCATTGGGAGTGATAAGGTGAACATAATGGAAAGGAAAAAAGTAATGATCGCCCACCGTGGGGCTCGAACCCACGACCACAAGGTTAAGAGCCTTGCGCTCTACCGACTGAGCTAGACGGGCTTCACTGACTATGTACCAACTACACCCACTCACACACACAACACTACAACTTCATCATCAATGTGTCTCATCAATACACACCACATTGCTCCTCATGTGTGCCTACACATTCACGTGCATATCGCGCCATTCACGGTCTAAAAGCCTTCTTTTATCGCCCACAAATCGATATTTACACTTTTTTTACCACAATCCTGACCAAAGAGCCACGCAAAATAGTCACAGCATTCTACCACATGACTATATTTATTGGGAAAGTCGTTTCCAAACTCGAGCTCCATTTATTTTGCATTTTACCGATTTTTTTGGAAAAGCGCCTTGACCACGCCCACCGCGCCGAGAGA